GGCACTCTTCACTCTAGTTTCTACCCCCTCTATATTTCCCCAATGCCATTGGCTTGTAATCCACAATTCCTCAATTTTTCTTTTTATGTGCCATGTCCTTTCAGAAGGTAGGCGATCATGGCTTTCCACATCTCTCTATACCTTGCAGCTCTCAACAAATTCCTTCCCTCTGCTTCCTCCCCCAGACCACGTCCTGTCATCCACCTGCTCAAGCTCTTCAGATACGCCACGCGTTTTTTCCTTTGTCTCTCTTTCCCTCTCTTCGGCCCGTGAGTATCAGATTCTCCAGGTCCTCCTTCCTCGTTATGTTTCCCGGAAAGCTCAGCTGCCTCTTCCTGATGTTAAGTATAAGCCTCCGCTTTGTTTGCAACCTCTCTAAGACCTCATCGTTGCTCACACGCTCGGCCCACGATATCCTTAGCTTCCTTCTGTAGAACCACATCTCTGTCACCTCGAGTCTCTTCTTCATTGACGAAATCCTCCAAAATTCACTTCCGTAAGGAAGAAGGTCAGATGTCACATAAGCGCTCACTATTCTTTTCTTTGTTACCAAAACTTCAATTAGCAGGATAAATTGGGATGCGCACAAACTCAGAGAAAACCTACCGCTAGCTTTGGTTTCAATCGCAGAGATTCAGTAACATTTGAACATTAAGCATAATAAACAAAGAAAATGTTTTCATCTTTTGTTTTTCTTGTGGTACGATCCACCTAATTTACATAGTGGAGTACCGACCATATAAATATGGGTTGGTACCGGGAAGACGAAAGGAAGTAACAAGAGATCCAATCCAGAGACTCTGCCCGACTGCGATTAAGTCAACCCATTCTACAGGAACAGTCTTCCCAAGAATATACCAAAACTAACTGTAAATATTGTGTACCTTTTCCTTGTTTCAATACATTTTGTTTACGTACATTTTGTGTTGTATTATTATTATTCCATACTAATCCAAGCTTCAACAGTTTTTTTTTTTTTTTTTTTTTTTTTTCGCAAAAAAATTGTACAAGATTTGAGAGCCACTCGAAGTAAACGATTAGAAAGTAAGAGACACAGTTTATTCTGATATGTTGGGAAGATAACGGTTAACTCTAGTTTTAAACAGGTTAAAATTATAGTTATCGGAGAAGTATCGGTTCAACAAAACAGCGGTTTCTGGGAAGAATATCTTCGAGTGGAACTTACATCTCACCAGCATTGCGGGCCTTAACCGTAATGATTAGAATGGTGGAACTAAGGAATCTAATCCGTTTGAGCACATTCCATAGAAATAGCGATAGACCAGAGGGATGTTTGCAGGGTGTAAAATAATTTGTCACCCACAATGACGCGGAATCACTTTTGGTCTCTGTAGGAATGGAAAGTAAAGACTGGACAGCTCCTACCAGTATATCGCAACTGTTATCCATTTTAGACACTTGTAAAGGTCGAGGATATCAGGATGTGTCAGTTACTTACTGGAGAGTTACAGAGATCCGACCATTTTTCCAGAGATAGATCGTAATTACAAGTTCCACTTGAGATCTGGGTTGATTTCTTACTAATAGGTGCTCAGGGTCCTCCCTGAATGAAAATCTGTTCATCGAGATTAGTGATAGTTCTAGGTCCGATCGACGAAAATGCAATAGAAATCACTAAAACGTACTTTAAGTACCTTTTAGTGATTTTAATTTATTTTCGCCGATCGAACCCAGAACTATCTTTTTTTTTATGTGCCATATCGTTTCAGGACGTAGGCGGTCATGGCTCTCCACAATCCTTGCAGCTCTCAACAAGTTCCTTCCCTCTGCTTCCTCCTCCAGACCACGTTCTGTCATCCATTTGCACACACGTATATCACGCGTTGTTTTCCCTTGTCTCTCTTTCCCTCTATTCGACCCGTGAGTATCATATTCTCCAAGTCCTCATTCCTCATTATGTGTCCCAGAAACTTAATTGTTGATATCTTCGCACTTTTGGCAAATCGTTGTCCCTTTTGCTTAAATTAACATGGTTACCTTTTCCAAAAGTATCTTCACATTAATCCGGTAAGAAAAACTTAATGTTTGTCATTCACTTATTGTTTTAACTGTCAAATTATAAGCCTCATGAATTATAAATAGTTTTAGAAAATAAATCAAGATGGCTGTCAGAATCTAAGTTTGTCACTTCAACAAAGAGATAACTTTCAGCAATCGGCGAATTCTTTATATTTCTTTACTGAATTTCTTCCTTCTTTTCTTTCCGTCATTCATTCTTCCTTTTCGATTTACTTCCTTCTTTTCTTTTATTTTTCTTTCTTTTTTTTCCATCCGGGTTCTTAATTCCTTTCTTATTGGCTTCTTCATTTTCTTTCATTTCTTTTTCTCATTCGTTTGGTGTCACTTCATTCTTTCTTATTCTCCTTTTTGATATCATTTCTACCTTCTTTTTTTTTTCAATTTTTCTTCAAATTTTATTCGTTCATCCGTTTTTAATTGCTTCTTTCTATCTTAAAGATATTTCAACTTTTCTTCCTCCGTTTCATTTTCTCACAATTCTTTGTTTTCACCTTTTGTATTCTTTCTTTCTTTCTTTCTTCTTTCTTTCATTCTTTCTTTCTTTCTTTCCTTCTTTCTTTCTTTCTTTCTTCTTTCTTTCTTTCTTTCTTTACTTCTTCTTTCTTTCATTCTTTCTTTCTTTCTTCTTTCTTTCTTTACTTCTTGTTTCTTTCCTTCTTTCTTCCTTTCTTTCTTCTTTCTTTCTTTCTTTCTTTCTTTCTTTCTTTCTTTCTTTCTGCAGTTCTTTTTCTTTATCGCCTTCTGTCAATTCATCCAGTTTACCTTTATAACTTTCTGAATATCCTATTTTCTTTCTTTCTTTCTCATCTTCAGCAATTTTTTATACTTCTTTTTCTTTTCTTTTCTCTTTTTCCTTTCTTCATTTTTAACGCTTTCTTTATTTCTCGCCATATTCTATCCTCTTTCTTCCCTTTTCTCTCTTTCTAATTGCATGCATTTCTCTTTATTTGTTTATTTATTTATTCATTCATTTCCCCTTTATTTCTTACCTTCTGCAGAACTAGACAGGCCTAGTCCATACTCCTCCCACTTCTCTTGAACAGGAGTAGAGTCTCATTTCTTGTTTACTGTTTAGGAATAAAGCGAACACGAATTAATTCTTGTAAATATATTACTTCTACCCACTTGAACTGTACAAGTCTTCTATCATATATCACTCACGATGACTGAATTCAAAATTCGACATTTATTCATCACTCAATAGATAGCGGCTAGGAATTCCAATCGGTTACGTAACATTCCTTCTACTCCAACGGTTATGGGATAAAAAGTTAAACTTTTATCTGGAAAAATCTTTTTTTTTACTTAATGATCTTTCTATGTTATAGTTACTTACAAAACAAATATTATTACAATCCAAAATATGTTACGGATTTAATTACCCCACCATGGGTTGATAAGCCATAAAAAAGAAATGGAATGAAAATATATATCACTCGGCCGAACAAAACTGAATAAATATCTATGCAGATCCTACGACAGTTTTTTAGCGCATCTTCAAAAATCAAGACGCTTAAAGCCTGGCAGCTGATCTCTTCTCTGACCGAGCTCTAACATATCAATTGAAGGGAAAAACTGTCTTGTAACATTCAATACTTTAACGTTTCATCATCACCTAACATATTCTAAGTTTACCGCACTCATAATAAATGGTTGTACTGTAAAAGAAATTCCTTGTTTTCAGCATCCGTGTGGTCTCAAGTTTACCCCCAGAACACATATATACAATCTGTGATGTTTTGTGTTTTAGTTTTAATAAGTTTAATTTTGTCTAACTCAAGATTGCGCAAATGGTCTGTCCTTTCTACTGCTCTGGAAAGTACCTGACCTCACCTGCTCGTATATACACTCCATTGCTAAAGATATATCCAGAATACCTGCCATGCCGTATATTTCATCATCATCATCATCATCATCATCGTCACCATCATCATCATTCGATGCCCATATGGTTGGTTGGCACTCCATTGAGAATCTATTTCCAAACTGTTCGGTCCTACATTGCTGTCCGTAAATCCACAATGTCAAACCCTGAGTCCCATGCCCATGTGTCTGAGAAAGTCAATTTTCGTGAGAAGACACTTCAAGAAGGAAACCATATGAGTAAAGATAAGACGATTTCCCATTCGTCTCGGTACCAATGGCCGGCAAATTGTAATCGTCATTGTTTGATCTTAAGTGACAATGGTCTCGGTCAATTCCGTTAAGCGTTGCATGTGATTACCAACTGGATTTTTCTAAATAGATTTGTATATGTTGCATCCAGTTTTCATTCAATACGAGCATATAATGTCCAAATATGTTTAAAAGAATCAAATTAAAAAAAAATGGAGCATTAGTGCCATAGCGGTACTGGAGCTTCTCACTCTTGATGCAGTTCAGAAGCGTCTACGCAGCCTCTGGTGGGTGGTGCTTGATTTTCCACCCCTACAACCCGTTTTGCCACGGTCGAAACGTCGCAAACATCTCGCTACTCTAACGCTATTTCTATGGAAAATGTTCACCAGGTTAGATCATTACATGGAAGAGCAGTTATGCCATGTACAGAGTCGAATCAGCCTTATTCTCTGCATATTCCAATTGTAAGAAGGACGTTCAACTCGGAAGGTTTCTATCAAATAATTTTTTTAAAAAAGACTCCCTAGAATACCAAAGTGATATTCGTGTGTGTGTGTGTGTGTGTGTGTGTGTGTGTGTGTGTGTGTGTGTGTGTGTGTGTGTGCTGTGTCTGTCGTTGTAACCGAAAGAGTGGTTGGGATTTTTTGTACGTCAGTGTTTCTAAATGATGTGTGGTCAGTACACATCATACCAGCAGTGACAACCTCTTCTCTTCAGAGGAATACAAACATAACAGAAAATAACAATAAAATATGTTAAATTGTAAATTGAAATAAAATATAATTTTATTTATTTCTGTCTACTGGTGTCTGTGTATTTTAGTTATATGTGTTTTAAGATTGATGAAAAAGAAGAAAATCACTTCGACTTACGACAAGAAATGTCACTTCGACTTACGACAAGAAAGGGTCAAAACGTCCATTTCTTGTGCGTCTTGACCCTTAGTTGGTAGTAAAGTGAATGAATCCATTTCTCAGGTAGGAAATTTTTCCGTTGCATGCTGGGAGAACATTCCTTATTTTGGTTATATTTATTTTATTTTAGACAAAGTTTTAATGTTATTTGTTTTGTTTAATTTATGACATTATTATTATTAGTAATATTTTTTTATACTTTTATGTATTAATAATAATGTCCCTACAATAACTTCTTTCAATTATTCTTCTAATTTTATTCAGTTTTTAATTGCTTCCTTTTGTCTACCTTTTCTTTATCATTTCCACATTTTCTTTCTTTTTCTGTCTTCTTTTTCATTTTCTTACATTTCTTCTTTTTATCCATTCATTTTCATATCTTTCTTTCTTGTATTCCACCTTTTTTCTTTCTTTCTTTCTTTTCTTCCATCTTATACTTTCTTACTTCTTTTCTTTCTTTCTTTATTTCTCCTTTTCCACCTTTTTCCTTCTTTCTTTCTTTCTTTTCTTCTACCTTATTATTTCTTAATTCTTTTCTTTCTTTCTTTCTTTCTTTCTCGTTTACTACCTGTTCCTTCTTTCTTTCTTTCTTTTCTTCCACCTTCTTCTTTCTTACTTCTTTTCTTTCTTTCTTTCTTTCTTTCTTTCTTTCTCGTTTTTACCTTTTCCTTCTTTCTTTCTTTCTTCCACCTTTTATTTTCCTTCTTCTTTTTTTTTTTTCTCCTTTTCCTCATTTTTCCTTCTTTCTTTCTTTATTTCTTTCTTTTTTCTTTCTTTCTTTCTTTCTTTTCTTCCACCTTCTTCTTTCTTACTTCTTTTCTTTCTTTCTTTCTTTCTTTCTCGTTTTCTACCTTTTCCTTCTTTCTTTCTTTCTTCCACCTTATTCTTTCCTTCTTCTTTTTCTTTTTTCTCCTTTTCCTCATTTTTCCTTCTTTCTTTCTTTATTTCTTTCTTTCTTTCTTTCTTTCTTTTCTTCCACCTTCTTCTTTCTTACTTCTTTTCTTTCTTTCTTTATTTCTTTCTTTCTTTCTCGTTTTCTACCTTTTCCTTCTTTCGTTCTTTCTTCCACCTTATTCTTTCCTTCTTTTCTTTTTTCTCCTTTTCCTCATTTTTCCTTCTTTCTTTCTTTCTTTCTTTCTTTCTTTCTTGTCTTCCACTTTTTCTTTCCCTTTTCTTCCTTTTCCTCTATTTTCTTTTGTATCTTCCTCGTCCTCTACCGTTCATTACTTACATCATTATATTTTTATTTTCTTCCTTTTCCTCTTTTTCCTTTATTCATTTTAGCATCTTTCTTTCTTTCTTTCTTTCTTTCTTATCGTCCAATTTTAGCTTTCATTTTTCATTCTATTTTTCTTTTTCCCATTCTTTCTTATTCCTCTTTTTCCTTTTTTCATTTTCTCCTCTTTCTTTCTGACTTTCTTTCTTATTATCTGCCTTTTCGTCTCTTTTTGCTTCCATATATCTCCTTTTCTTTTATTCAGTTTTTTACGTTTTCATTCATTCGTTCTTTCTTTCTTTTTTTCTCATGTTCCAATTTTATATTTCATTTTTCATTCCTTTCTTTTCAATTTCTTCTTTATTCCTCTTTTCTTGTATTTATGTTTTAATTGTTTTATTTATGTTTTTTTCTTTCTGCACAATTATTTTTTTTTCCTTTTTTTTTTCTTTATCATTTTCTTCCTTTTTCCTCTTTTACTTTTTCATTTTTCTCCTTATTCTTTCTTTCTTTCTTTTTTATCTTATATCTCGCCTTTTACTTCCATTTTCCTTTATCCATTTTTCACTTTTTCTTTCTTTCTTTTCTTCCTCTTTTTCTATTTTTTCTTCCTTCTTTTTCTTTTTCATTTTCTTACTTTTTCCACTTTTTCTTTATTTCTTTTATGTTTACCACTTCCATTTTTTTTCGTTTTTCTTATTTTCCCCTTTTATTATCTTCTACCTCCTTTTTCAGAATCACCAACCGTTCTTCATCCAACTTTTACTGCCATCACCTTCAGTAAAATTTTAGTCGGTTTCCCCAAGTAATTTGAAAATAATTGAAATATAAGCTCATAGTTGCAAACATGTCTACTCTGTTCTTATCACGTCTGAGAAACTTTCTCATATATTTGTAAATAACCCATTCAAAAATATTTAAAACACAATTTAACGAATCAAACGTGCCACTTCGTTCACAGCTGAATATGAGAGAATCAAATTTCTTTATAAATTCCGTACAGACTATTACCTTCAAAGCCACACAAGAGCTAACGTATTGGTATTTGTCTATATTTCTGAGATGAGGTATTATATACACTATTTCCATTATTCGGACTATTGTCCTCATCTTCGTTGCCATATTTATCACAAAATTTCGGCCTTTCAGTATCTGTCTATATTTCTGAGATGAGGTATTATGTACACTATTTCCATTATTCGGACTATTGTCCTCATCTTTGTTGCCATATTTATTACAAAGTTTCGGCCTTTCAGTATCTCTCTATATTTCTGAGATGAGGTATTATGTTACTATTTACATTATTCGGACTATTGTCCTCATCTTTGTTTCCATATTTATCACAAAGTTTCTCCCTGTCAGTATCTGTCTATATTTCTGAGATAAGGTATTATATATACTATTTACATTATTCGGACTATTGTCCTCATCTTTGTCGCCACATTTATCACAACGTTTCGGTTGTTTTACGCTCCGGCCTTCTTTAGGTAGGTGGAATGTCGAACAGAACCCTTTATTTCGCTCGCTAGGGTAGATTGTTCTAACAATGATAACAGCAAAAATTGCAATATGAATACTGGTAAAAATGTTTACTGAAGACATTACGTTTATAAATCTCAGAAATTCATATGCCTATGTCTTTAAGGACACATGGCACAGTTGGTTAAATCCAGTAACAAGGCCCAAAGAGGTGCGAGTTCAATACCTGGTAAAGGTAGTGGAGAGGGCAATTAAAAGGAGATAGCTAATAACTGACATCCATTAGACATGGTAAGTGGAACGAAATCAATTTAACCCCAGCGAGCGAAATATTTTTGACCGAGCCTACGGAGTTGGAGAACCCACGGTAAACTCGGCCTTGTGCCACATACGACCCACGTGGGTGGGGGCCGTTAAATATTAACAGTCGAACAGATCTGTTCCAGCTGTGTTGGTCAAACGCTCTGCCTCCGAGCAGAGATGATCCCCAGACGATCCTTACAAACAAGACTAGCCTTGTTATGTGCTCAAGGTTGAAACATTCTCTATTCCTTACTTATTCCTTCGCTAGGCTAGACGTTCCACTCCGAAAGCTTCTTCCTAAAAAACCGCTAATCTGTGAAACTGACTGCCGCGTGGATGCTTTTGCAAACATTTCAATCTTAAATTTCTCAAGTTTAGGGTTAATCTTTATCTGGCCGCCATATCGTCGAAATCTTCACTTTCTAATTCCTCCTCTTAGGTTCATATCGCATACCCCTTTCTTTAACCCTCTACCTTGGGTGGCTCTTAGGCTATTTACTGGTTTAACTTTATTGAAAAAAGAATGTTAGGATTTTGCGAGACAAGTACGCTAAACAAAAACAGACGATTCTTCTTGTATGTGCTATGTTCCTTCAGGACGTCGGCGTTCATGGCTTTCCACAACTTCCATTGCAGTTCTTAATAAATTCCGTCTTTTTTATCTCTCCTAATCCCTGTTCTGACATTCATTTACCCTAACTTGCAAGGTAAGCTATGCGTTGTTTTCCTCTGTAGGTAAAATTGGCCTGTGAGTATCAAATTCTACAAGCCATCTTTCCTCATTATATATCTTCGAAATTTCAGATGTCTCTTTTTGGTGTTAAGAGCAAGTGTCCTTTTTGTTTCTATTTTCTCTCGTCGTTGGTCACATGTTTGGTCCATTGTATTCTCAGCTTCCTTATGTCGCTTTTATTCTTGCCTTTATCTGTGAGGAATCGCAGTTATTAATAAGCTTCACTTGTTACAAAAATCCAATGAGGATCGGTCACTACAATGTAAAAATCTACTTACGATAAAATGGTTGTGACTCAATTTCCAGTAATGATACCGTTGGATCTATTCGCAAATCTGTACATTGGAATCTACTCGAGTTTTACCTTCTCTTGCGTAAATGTGGTAACGTTGGGTATCTTCTGCAGTAGTTGTTACTTCAATTCCGTATAACGTGTACTGAAAGACTTATCGCTGTGTGGGACGTATTTAGTGATTTAGTGAGGCCAAGCGTACTTAGGAGATGCAACCACATTCATTACACTATAAATGAAAATCAAGGGAATGAACATCATGAACATTATGAACATCTTCACGATTCTGTGCTCTGTTACAAGTGGGCAGTGTTTTCCTCCAGGAAGAACGACGTACAGCAAGGATGTAGAACATAGATAGATAGATAGATAGATAGATAGATAGATAATGAACAGACTGGGTTAAGATAAATAGATAGATAGATAGATAGATAGATAGATAGATAGATAGATAATGAAAAGGCTGGGCTAGCTAGCTAGATAATGAATAGGCTGGGGTAAGATAGATAGATAGATAGATAGATAGATAGATAGATAGATAGATAGATAGATAGATAATGAACAGGCTGGGGTAAGATAGATAGATAGATAGATAGATAGATAGATAGATAGATAGATAGATAGATAATGAAAAGGCTGGGATAGATAGATAGATAGATAGATAGATAGATAGATAGATAGATAATGAACAGGCTGGGCTAGCTAGCTAGATAATGAATAGACTGGGGTAAGACAGATAGATAGATAGATAGATAGATAGATAGATAGATAGATAGATAGATAGATAGATAGATAGATAATGAACAGGCTGGGGTAAGATAGATAGATAGATAGATAGATAGATAGATAATGAATAGGCTGGGATAGATAGATAGATAGATAGATAGATAGATAGATAGATAGAT